CTGGAAGGTCTTCTCTCTTAATTTTGTTTAATACTCAAGGTGATTTAAAGTAATAAATCACCAAAGGCTTGATTTTTATGGAACCTAATAAAATATACAAATATATAAGTAAATAAAATTATTATAAAAAATCAAATTCTTTAATATCTGTAAAATTTAAACAAAAAAGAATTATTACTCTTTGTTTGACCTTTTTCTTTTCAATTATTGCTTTTTTAACAAAAGATCTTGAAGATTTCATTTTTCAATAACGACCTGTTTCATTACAGTTAAATATATTTCTAAAGGTCAATCTTTTAGTAAGTCTTATAAAGATTCTCTAAATCTGGAAAGTTCTTCCAATAGAGCACTACTTCCTTCTCCATGATGTACAAATTGTTTCAAATTTGCTCTTTTTTGAAATTTGTTAACCAGTCTTCTGATGCATTAAAAATCTGAAATTTTTAGAAGTTTGACAAATTCTTAGACCTGGTATATTAAAATAAATCCTGTAATGATTAAATTTACCTTTAATGTTTTGTCAACCTATAATATTAATACTTTTTCCAATAAAGAATATTTGGGATTTTTTTTCTTTTTATTTGAGCTTTAAAATTGCTAAGATCAATATTAAATCAATGGTCACTATCTTTTAAAATTTTAAAAACAATACCATAACTAATATTATATTTTTGGGCCAAAGTTTTAATTTGGATATCAAGATTTCTTTGTTTTAATAAACAAAGTATATGTTTTTGATATTTATTTAAAGTGTGTTTAGCAAATCTGATATTATATCTCATTTTGTTTGATATAATAATTGTAAAAGTGAAATGGAAGTTTTGAGAAAAATAATTTAATGGATTGATATAAAATATGCATGCATATATAAGAATATTTATTATTTTATTTCTTAAATTAATTTTGTATCTTAATTAATTATAACAAAATTTTTATTAATTTTATTAATAAATTAATAATTTTTTTTATAAAAATATATATTATTATTATAAAATTTTAATTAAAAAAAATTTAATAAATATAAAATTATTTAATTTAAATTAATAATTATAAAAAAATGTTAATAAAATATTGAAAAAATTTAATAACTTTTATCAAATTTATAACTTTATTAATTATTATTATTATAATATATATAATCTATAAAATTAAGCTTTAAATTATATAATTTTTTTATATTAAATAATAAATTATTAAAAAAAAATTAAAAAAAATTAAAAAAATTAAAAAAATTAAAAAAAATTAAAAAAAATAAATAAAATAAAATAAAATAAAATAAATAAAATAAAATAAAATAAATAAAAAAAAAAATCAAAATTTCAGTATTTTGGCAATTTTTATCAGAGTTACAATAGTCATATGACTTCAATAAATTTGATGATAATTAAGAATCTGTATAAGAGAAACCTTAGTTATAATAATTTTAACTAATTATAGGATTTATAATGACAAAATATAAATTTTGTTATACTTTTTTTTATCGAGAGTTGATTGTATTAATCTTTTGAGAACTAATCATACTTTTTAAAAAAAGTTAATTTTTGAAATTTTCATATGTGCATATATACCACTACAGAAATTAATTCATTGGATGATTAAAATTTGATAATTTATACAAAAAATAAAAGATATAAAAAAATTTAAACTTAATTATACAAAGATAGCTTTAATTCTAGAACCTAAATTTTATTATTTCAGCCTTATATATTATTAGGGGGAAAAGCAATTAATAATATGTCTTAAGAATTGTATAATGAAGATTCTTATTATAGAGGTTGCCTAATTAGGTAATTGACCCTTAACCTCATTTGTTTTGCATAATTGGTTATTTCTGTTTGTTCTGTTTGATTAGTTATTTCTATTATTTTTGCTATCTGCATGATTAATTATTTCTGTTTGTTCTAATCGAATGATTATTTTTGTTTTTTTAAATGTTAAGTGAGACCTTCCTCATAACTTTATTGATTGTAAAGTAATAAAATGAAATACATTTTATACAAAATCAAATAAAAGAATAAAGTATATGACGATACATATTGGCCTACCACCATGAACAGATACAGTATATCATGAAAAAACTTTGATGCAAAGAAAACATGAGGAACTATCTGTTATAAAAAAATAGAGCAACAAAATACTATCCGGGCAAAATTGCCATATTGTGTAAAGAATGTTAGAAGTTTGATTAGAGAGAAAATATATTCTTGAGATAAGATTGTTTATACACTTCGATATGGTACTCAAAAATGTAACGAAAAGCCATATGAAGTATATAGTTGATACTTGGTAGAATAAATATTGAAGTGATAAAATGTGATAGGATTTGAAGTCGTATTATCTGTTACTCAACAATCCCTCCCGCAGGACACAGATTCAATGTGTCTACCTAGGTTCAAGGCTTCCTTTTCGACAGTTGGGCGTGACTCCAACAGCAATAGCAGGGCACTGGCATAGGCTGCCAGATTACGGGGCGCAACTCCCTGGTATTTCACTTCCACCCAAAATAAGATTGCTCTTATTCATATTGATCAGGCTTTGGCTGCCTTTTTTCTTTAACGGTAGCATTGCTGCTCGTGGGGCACAACTCCATTGTTGAAGATAATAAGCAAGTTTTTGAGGTTAGGTATTATGTAATGTGGCTGTATTAAAGTAAGCCGGGTAACTGGAGCCTGCTCCAATTGCTTGTTGTATTTTGGATGTGTGTCAAGTTAAAGATTACCAGAACTCGCGCAGGGCACAGATCACGCACTCTCCCAATCTGGTAAGTTGTCAGTTTTTGTTGTTGTCATTATTGTTGTTGTGGTTGTTGTTGTTGTGGGTGTGTTAGAATTTTATTGTAGGAACTGATTGCAAACGGGTTTGAGCAAGTATTGTTTTTGAATAAGAAGTAAGAAATTTTGATTGGTTGTTAGATGTATGTAGGTCATTGAGGTTATTTTGTGTGTGTGGGAATTTTCATTGTAGGGACTGGTTATAAACAGGTTTGAGCAGGTTTTGTTTTTTGATTAAGGGGTAAAATAATTTGATTGGCTGTTAAGTGTATGTAGATCTTTTGGAGGGGTAGAGCTAGATATGGTTTTTGAATATTTGAGAAAAATTTGAGAAAAAGAAAATAAATTGTAAAGGTTGTGTTAAGACAAACATTAGATCCAGTAACTTTGTTTGAATATGTTGTTGAGAATGTATTTGTGATATAGAGAGAGAAGAGAGAAAAGAGGAAGATAATTATAATGGTCATATATAAAGGGAAGGTACCTAAAGACAAAATTATGAAGGAAGACTGCCACAGGCCTTTCCCCATGCAACCAAGAGCTAAGAAAGACTCCCAACTCGCTTAGGCCTTGACCAGAGGTCCCATCCCAATGCAACAGTGTTCCTTGAAGTCTTTATGTCCTTGGGTGTAAAGCTTATTTGCTTTAGAGAAGTAAGGAGAGAAAAATGCTTCTTGAAAGAAGATTTCCAAAAAAGGAAATTTTCAAAAAATCAGCGGTGAACAGGTGAGAGTTTTTAATGATTATTTTTGTTATTTCTGCTTGTTCTGTATAATCAGTTAATTCTGTTATTTCTTTTATTTCTTTATTTCTGTTTGCTACTAGAAAAAGTATATAAATGATGTAATAATTTAATAGGAGAAAGAGAGAACCAATGATTATCAGAAAAGTTAATAAAAAAATATTTACTAATAAAAATCATTATACTTATCGCATAGTTTCCAATCAATTAAAATTCTCCAAATTATTGAAACTTGTCAAATCCACACATTTTTTTTGCCTATCACCCCCTGTAAAACTCGTAACCCCTGTACTAAAGTATTGTAAAGTCAAGGTTTTACAATGTGTTAGTTTAAACTATACATGTGATGTAAATTATTTTGCTATTGACTTAATTGCCCAAATCCTCAAAATAATTACATCTGATTCAATTATTTTATATATTTTAATAGTGACTCAATTAATTGTGTCAAATAATTGTGTCAATTGCGTCAAGGATCTATCAATTTCTATCACATGTATAGTTTAAACCCTGATCCATAAAAATAGTATAGATTCTAATTTCAGATTGTGTATCTATTATTATAGTTTTATAATGTTAATCCTTATATTTAAATTTTAGTTTTATAATATGATATAATACATATTAATTATTTTTTTTATTATCTTCTTTTTATTTTTATTTTATCTATAATTTATTTTTTTATATTATATAAATTGCTTAAATGTTAAGCTTAAGATTTATGTATTTTTAAAAATAAGTTGGAATATTTATATTAAAGAATAAATATAATAACTATTTTTTTATATAAAAACAAGAATACTCCTACAATAAAGTAATAATTTTTAATTCTAAATTATTTATTTACTTGTTGATTTTCAAATAAAAAGCTAAAAAAAGTCTTTTATATATTTGGTATAGAAGTTTGCAAATATAATATTATTTAAAAAACTATTATTCTATATTTATTAAATTAGAATGATTAAATTCAAGAAAATAAATTATACTTTTAAATTCAATATTAAAAAACTTTTAAAGAAGATATAATTAAACTTTATCAAAGAAATTAAGTTTCTAACTCAACACTTTCTTACTAGTTATTTGAAAATAATTTAATAATCTTATCAAATTCTTAATAAACAAGTTCATTAAAAAACCAAAATAATTATATTAAGGAAAAGTTAATATACAAAGATAAAAAAACTGCTCAGAACTTAAATCAAAAATTAACAAAATAATATTCAACATCAAAAAAAATAATTTTTTTTCATAAACAATAATCTAATAATCTTATCCCTTAAACCATTAAGCGGGCAAATTTGCCTGCTTAAATTATTTTTGATTTGTTTTTATATAACTACAAAAGATTTTCATAAGCATACCCCCTTTTTTATACAAATATATAAATGTGCTACATTGTTAATCACCCCATGATTCTCTTCCCATGGTTCTTTTAACAAAAATCTAAAATTTCACTCTTCAAAAATAACTTTCAGAATTACGGGATTATGTCCTCTTTGACTAGACTGAATGCATTACCTTCAAGTTTAACTTTAAGTTCATTTCCTCTCAAAAATATAGAAGTGCATATTATCGATGATGAAGAATATGTTTCACTTTTAACATTCCACCAACGTTCTTTAGAAAATCTAGAATCAGACCTTGAGGATGAGGAAGAGAACACCACAAGTGTTCATAGAGATAGACACAGAGCAACGGTACAATTACCACCACCTCCTTATAATTTTGATTATTTCATTCATCTAAGACCACTGCATTGCGCCTTTGTAAATTTGCTGCCACAATACAAAGCCAACTTTTCAAAACCAATCAATCTTTTTCTTCTTTTTTTTATGAACAATATTTTAGATACAATAGTTGCAAATATGAATTTGTATTCACTATCAAAAAATGCTGATGGTGTTGACAGGCCTTGACAAGACATAAATCGCAGAGAACTTATTATTTTGATCGCTTTGATTATCTATCAAGGACTTTTCAATTCACCTTCTCTCAATCAATACTGGAATGAAAATACAAAACTTCCAATCCATAATATTTCGAAGCAAATGTTATTGTTTCATTTTGAACAAATCAAAAGATATTTGCATGTTTCTTCTCCTATAGCTATAATCAACAATTACTTCGAAAAACTAGAGCCATTACTCTCAAAAATTCGTGATGTATCAAAACAACTCTATACCCCAAGTTCGAATGTTTCAGTGGATGAAATGATAGTACGATTTTCTGGAAGGAGTGTTTATATGGTTAGGATAAAGAATAAACCAACTCCCAAGAGTTTCAAGATTTTATCACTTTGCAAATCAGGATATATATACATTTTCTTGCCAATATTGCACATCTCTTCAAGTGGTGTGCCAAAAGTGAATGGCCTTAATCAAGTTGGGTGTCTTGTTTACCATCTCGTTATGCAACTTCCTTATTACCAATCTTCATTCAATGTCTATATGGATAATTATTTTTCTAATGTTCCTCTATTTCAAAATCTTCGGCAATTAGGTATCGGTACTTGTGGAACTGTCTGTAAAACAGCTTTAGGATTTTTAAAAGAGTTGAGAATAGAAAAAAATGTTAAACTTGATTGGAACATTCGTTCCGGTGTCATAGTAAATAGTGTATTATTAGTTTTTTGACAAGATAATAGGCTGAAAACAATGTTATCAACAATCTATGGTCTTGTTGGTAAGAAATAGGAGATAGAATGTGAAAGGCAATAACCAAGAGAAACAAGTACCAATGCCACGAAGGTTTGAATTTTATTTTATTTTATTTTAATTATTATTTTTTATTTAATTCTTTTATTATTATAGGTGCGTATGGTTTTTGGCTCTGAATCTAAAAAAAAAATTAAAAATCCCCAAAATAATTGATGATTACAACCACAATATGAATAGTGTAGATGTTGCAGACTAATTATGATCATATTACAATATGCAACAAACGGTTTGACAGAATTGGATGTCTCTTTTTTTCTGGCTGTTAAATACTGCAATAATTAATGCCTATCAGATCACCTGAACATTAGGATCGATACAAGAGCAAAAAGAATTTTGTCGCAAACTTATTTGGGATCTTGTAGATCTTGCGAATGATACCATAGAAGTTTAATTGAGAGTTGGCTCAAAAAAAGAAACAATAGAAATAAAAAAAGAAACAAAATAGCCAAGAGTGACAAAAAATTTTGAGCTTTTGAATTGACAATTGGCACCTGGAAATCATTTTCTGGAATGGAGAGAGAAATGAGAAGTATGCCAATAGTGTATTTGGTTGGCAAACAAAAAAAAATTGGATATGGATCATAAAACGCCATATTAAAGTTAGCTTTGGTATATAGCTTGCAATGTATCTCTCTGTTGTAATAATAATCAGAATTGTTTTATTGGTTTTCATACTTTACAACAAGAAAGAATTTAATGGTAGACTTTTTTTTGAATTAAAAATTGTGTATATATTTTTATGAATTTCTTGAAATAATGAATAATCTAAAATTTCGCAAGAAAACAAACAAAAAAAAATTTTATTTATTCATTTATCAGTTTATTGATTGAAAATGCCCTAAATTAATCTTTAAATAAAAACATTAATTTAGCTAACCTAACTATCATAATAATTTAAAATTTTATTATAGATAAGTACCCATGTTATATAGTAATTTTTGTTTGTTATGATATGAAGTATACAAAACTGAATTGTCAAGAATTTTTATAAGATTGGTTGTTCAGGATTAAGGATCCTAATGATTCTGTATTCGATTCCATTCGATTTTAGCTCTTATAGTAAATTTAATAGGTGGGTTATAACCCACTTATGTTTTTTATATGTATGCGAATCTATGTAAGTCTATGTGATTTCAATTTTTGGGACCATATTTGGGATACTTTGTTGCCGAAATGTATCAAATTTTATATGACTCAAATTTGTACACTTTTTTTGAGTTATATATCAAATATCACGATGTGGCTGCGGAGTTATAATGTGCCTTCACTTCTGGAAATCACTCTAGTTAATTTAAATTATCCCGTTTATATAAAAAATTTTTTGTAAGGGATAATTTTCAAAATTATTTAAGTAGGCAAATTTGCTCGCTAAAATGTATGGTTTAAGGGATACTTCAATAAAAAAACTTTGATTAAAGAATAACTATTACAAGTTCATTATTAATTCTTAAAAAAATATTAATATAATTTTGAAACTATAGTAAAACATTTATACTAAACTAAAATATTATATTAATAGAGCATTAGAAAAAATTAAACTCAAATCAATATATTTCATATTTCTAATAGTAAAAATCAAATTGAAAATAATTCTAAAATATTAATATATTATTATCAGTTACTATTAGAATATATTATAACAGAGACTATTCAATTGTCTAATTTTTTTAACTAAAAAGAAGCTTAAAATTCTCTTCCAATAAATTAAGAACTATATAAAGAAGTATTTCTTATAATTAATTTATCAATATTTAATACTACTATCAAAAGTCTTATAAAAAAAAACATTAGAAAAATCAAAAATTAGCTACAAGATTATTAAACTCTTAAATAAAATACTATTAAGTCATTTGTAATATTTTTAACTTTATTATTCAAATTTTCTTAATTTTTATCTTATATAAACAGACTATTATTATTTTAATCTCAAAAAAATTAATATAAAGTTATAATTTAAATAATATTAGATCTATTTCTTTTGTCAATTCAATAAGAAAACTTTTTTATAGAAATAATTAACAAGAGATTTATCAAAGTTTTAAAGCAAAACAATATATTATTAAATCTTAACTTTGAAGATTTTTTGGGACAAGTACTATAAAGCCCTTATTTATATTAACTTAGCAATTCAAGCTATTAACATTAACAATAAAAAATTTTGATTTTTTTTTTAAACATTACAAAAGTCTTTGATTCAGTTTCAATTTTAGTGTTGACATATAAAATATATATTTTAGTATAATTATTTTATAAACTTCTATATATTATATAATAAACTTTGTTATAATGTATTACCATTAATATATTAACTTATGTATTAGCTGGTGCACTGCTATAAATAGTAGTAAAATATATAGCAATTAGGGCTCCAAAAAGTACTGAACCAGTATCGAAGTGGTATCGAAATAATACTGATCTATAGTAAATTTAATATATGGGTTATGACCCACTCATATAAATTTATAGTAAATTTAAATATCGAACTGGTATCGAAGTGGTACCGTTAGGAGTCCTAATAGTAAAGAAAAAAATATAATATAAACAAAGAAAGATAAGACATAAGAATGGATAGTAATATAAATAATATATACAATAAACAAGAAAGACAAATATAGTAATAATAAAGAGATAAATAAAGTATATTAATAAACCTAACTTAAAAAAAAATCAATTAATTAAAAGAATAATTAATAAGACTATAAGAGATTTGTAATACAGTTATTAAAAATAAAGATCCAAAAATAAGATAGCCCAGGAGTTAGAGGAAGATGATCCTTTGACTTATTTATGGCATTATATGAATATAATTTCAGGTTAGAACAAACTTGCCATTTTGATACAATACTAACAATTTAAGAATTATTTGAAAAAATCAATTATTTTGAAAAATTAATCAATTTTATTACTAACTTATTTCTTTTATAAAAAAGTATTTATCAATAATTTATTAGGTTCAATAAATTTTTTTATATTAACAATATTATTGAATAAAAGAAAACATTATTTTCAATTACTTAAAAAATTTTTTATAACCTTCTTATATTTAAGTTATCCAAACATTAAGAAATTTCTAATTATATAGTTCTAATTTCTTAGCATATATAGATATCTCACTTTAATCACAAATTTCAAAACCAAAAAATCTTTTAAAAATAGCTATTCAAGTTATTAAAATAATAATCTATTGTGTAATAAAAATAAAACCAAAATAATCAACAATATTTTTACAAAAAACAATTTGTTTTGTTATATCTTATTTGATAACTATCACATTCAAGTTCTATAGCCACCTAAAAATATAAATACCTAGATATTCAAATATTTTTTTAATATACTAAAATCCAATAGAAAATCTTTAAAAAAACAACTATAGACTTCTTTATTCTTTATTGTCAGTCTAATTCTCTATTATAATTCCTTTTAAACCTCTAAAATTCTTACAATGGCTAATAACTTCTTAAGGCAAATGTATTAATATTTATACTGAAAGTATAAATGATATAGTTTATAAGTAATTTCTATTATTCTTTAATTGTTATTATTGATAACTATCATTAATAACTTTAGTGAACTACTTCTCTCCTAAATTAGCAAACTTTATTATTATTTATACTTGTTGTGTTGCATTTGCTAACCTTTTGTAACATCATATAAAATTCCTTTAAACTTTTTAAGCTTCCTCAATTAATGATCTGTTGCATCGTACCAAGTCACATAACTATTAGTAATTTGAATTGATCCACTCATTTTTTTTTTGCTAACAATATAATTCTATTGTTTTTTATTTAAAGGCTTCAAAAAGCATATCAAAGATATAATTATCTGTACAACAAATAAGGTATAGGACCCTATTTCCGTGAATTTTTTGTTATTACATATAAAAATGTTTTTATAATAATTTATTTTTTAT